ACGGACAGCGAAGTTGAAGAAATGTCAGAGAAGGAGTTCAGAAGGTTCATAATTAAAATGATCTGTGAATTAAAGAATGACCTAAATGAGCAAATACAGGCAAAAATTAATCACTCCATCAATGATATGAGAGAGCAAATACAGGTAGCGAAAGATTACTTCAAGAAAGAGATAGAGACTCTGAAAAAAAAAGTCAGAAATCCTTGAAATGAAGGATACAATAAATCAAATAAAAAATTCAATAGAAAGCATAACCAACAGACTAGATCACTTGGAAGAAAGAACATCAGATAATGAAGACAAAGTATACAATCTGGAAAATAAAGTTGATCACACCATGAACAGAACATCCAAGAATTATGGAACAGCATCAAAAGACCAAATCTAAGAGTACTAGAGGAAGGCACAGAGTTTCAAACCAAAGGAATGCACAATCTCTTCAATGAGATAATATCAGAAAATTTCCCAAAAATGAAGAACGAATTGGAAAACCAAATACAAGAGGCTTACAGGACACCAAATGTATAAAGTTACAACAGATCTACACCAAGGCACATTATAATGAAAATGCCTAGCATACAGAATAAGGATAGAATCTTAAAAGCCGCAAGAGAGAGGAATCAGATTACATATAGGGGGAGACTAATTTGTAACTCAGCAGATTTTTCAACCCATTCCCTCAAAGCCAGGAGATTGTGGAACAACATATACCAAACTCTGAAAGAAAATGGATGCCAACCAAGAATCTTATATCCAGTAAAACTAATCTTTAGATTTAATGAGGAAATAAAAACCTTCCATGATAAACAAAAGTTAAAAGAATTTACATCTAGAAATCCTGCACTATAGAACATCCTCAGCAAAATATTCTAAGAAGAGGAAATGAAAAACTGATGAAAATCAGCAGAGGGAGGGATTACACTAAAGGAAAATCTAATCAGAGGAGAAACCAAGTCAAGTTAGATACCAAAGATAAACAAAAATGGCTGGGAATAAAAATCATGTCTCAATAATAATCCTGAATGTTAATGGCCTAAACTCACCAATCAAAAGACATAGACTAGCAGRTTGGATCAAAAAAACAAGACTTAATAATATGCTACCACCAAGAGACTCATCTCATAGAAAAAGATATTCACAGACTGAAGGTGAAAGGTTGGGAAAAACCATACCACTCACATGGACTGCAGAAGCAAACAGGGGTTTCCATCCCCATATCAAATAAAGTAGACTTCAAGCTAAAGTCAATCAAAAAGGATAAAGAAGGACACTACATACTGCTCAAGGGAACCATACACCAATAAGCCTTAACAATTATAAATATATATACCCCAAACAATGGAGCTTCTATGTTCATCAAACAAACTCTTCTCAAGTTCAAGAGTCAAATAGACCACAATAATTCTGGGTGACTTTAACACACCTCTTTACCACTGGATAGATCTTCCAAACAAAAGTTGAATGAAGAAACTATAGAAGTCAATAACACAATCAATAACTTAGACTTAACATATATAGAATATTTCCTCCTTCAACAAGCGAATACACTTTCTTCTCAGCAGCACATGGATCCTTCTCTAAAATGGGCTATATATTATGCCACAAAGCAAATCTTAGCAAATATAAAAACGTAGAGATACTACCCTGCATTCTATCAGATCATAATGGAATGAAATTAGAAATCAATGATAAAATAAGAAATAAAAGCTACTCCTATACCTGGAAACTAAATAATATGCTACTAAATGAACAATGGGTTGCAGAAGACATCCAGAAGGAAATTTTAAAATTCCTAGAGGTGAATGAGAACACAGATAAAACATATTGAAATCTCTGGGACACTATGAAAGCAACTCTAAGAGGAAAGTTTATTGCATGGAATTCATTCTGTAAAAGAAGAAAAAGTCAACAAATAAGTGACTTAACATTATATCTCAAAGCCTTAGGAAAAAAAGGACAAATCAACAACAAAAGCAGTAGAAGACAGACATAATTAAAATCAGAGCTGAAATCAATGAAATTAAAACAAAAGAAACAATTAAAAAAAATTGACAGAACAAAAAGTTAGTTCTTTGAAAAAATAAATAAAATTGACAGCCCCTTAACCATGCTAACCAAGAGAAGAGAGAAAACTCAAATTACTAACATAAGTGATGAAAAAGGAAATACCATGACAGACACTACAGAAAAATAGAAGATAATTAGAAATTATTTTGAAAACCTATACTCCAATAAAATAGAAAATATTGAAGGCATTGGCAAATTTCTAGAGTCATATAATTTGCCCAAATTGAATCAGGATGATATCAAATTTAAACAGATCAATTTCAAGCGATGAAACAGAAGATGCCATCAGAAGTCTACCAACCAAGAAAAGCCCAGAACTGGATGGATACACAGCTGAGTTCTACAAGACCTTCAATTTATTTCAGGAAATAGAAAAAGAGGAGCACTTCCAAACTCATTCTATGAGGCCAATAATCACCCTGATTCCAAAAACAGGCAAAGACACATAAGAATCATATGATCATCTCAATAGACGCAGAAAAAACATTGGACAAAATGCAACACCCCTTCATGTTCAAAACACTAGAAAAATTAGGGATAACAGGACCATACCCTCAACATCATAAAAGGCTATCTACGCTAAGCCCCAGGCCAACACTATTCTAAATGGAGAAAAATTGAAGGCATTCCCTCTAAAAACTGGAACAAGACAAGGATGCCCTCTTTCACCACTTCTACTTACCATAGTTCTTGAAACACTGGCCAGAGCAATTAGACGAAAGAAATTAAAGGAATACACATAGGAAGACAAGAGCTCAAATTAGCACTATTTGCTGATGATATGATTCTATACCTAGAAGACCCTAAAAGTTCCACAAGAAAACTTCTAGAACTAGTAAATGAATTCAGCAAAGTAATAGGATATAAAATAAACACCCATAAATCAAATGCAATTCAGTGTATCACTGACAAATCCTCAGAAAAGGAAACAAAAAAAAATCTACCCCATTTATAATAGCCTCAAAAACAATTAAATACTTGAGAATCAACTTAATGAAAGAGGTGAAAAATCTATATAATGAAAATTACAGAACCCTAAAGAAGAAGTCAAAGAAGACCTTAGAAGATGGAAAGATCTACCTTGTTCTTGGATAGGCAGAATTAATATTATCAAAATGACCATACTACCAAAAGCATTATACAGATTTAATGCAATTCCAATTAAAATCCCAATGACATTCCTTATAGAATAGAAAAAGCAAACATGAAATTTATCTGGAAAAATAAGAGACCCAGAAGAACTAAAGCAATCCTTAACAGGAAGAGTGAAGCAAGTGGCATCACTATACCAGACCTTAAACTATACTACAGAGTAATAGTAACAAAAACAACATGGTATTGGCACCAAAACAGACTGGTAGACCAATGGTACAGAATAGAGGACACAGAGACTAACCCACAAAATTAAAATTATCTTATATTAGACAAAGGTGCCAAAAACATGCATTGGAGAAAAGATAGCCTCTTCAAC